ATCGTGCATCGAGGTTGGACAATACTACAATCGCAATGTGATACCGTTTCGAGATATTCAACATAGGCACGGGATCCTGGCCGATCTGGCGAACCTGAAGTATCTATAATAGGGTTAGTCGTGATGAATTTTCCAACCGATCCCGTAAATCGTGCATGACCAATTGGCAAACGGATTAAACCGTAAGACTTTCAGTTGCAGCATGCGTGTATTGAAATACCGTGACACAGCGCGCCTACCGGTACGAGCTAACGGATATTCATATTGAGGTATGGGAATGATAAATACCAGCGAATGCTGCAAACAAATAACGCGCAAGTGTACGGTGACCACGTACCACGTATACAAGAAATTGTCGGAGTTTACCCCATGCCATCAGTCTCATGCGCATGCACTCTGATTGGCTGAATGCGCACCGATGTGCTAACAGTGATTGAATAATAAAGAATGAGCCAATGTGTGATTGATAATCGTAATGTTTTTAATGTAATGTAATGTTAANGTTAACCGGCATCCCCTTTATGAAAAGAATGAACTTCCACCTCAGATCATCGGATCCGATTAGCATACCTTAAAAAGTGCTGCATTCAGTGTCTATCCTTAGTACTATAAACCGAATGAACTTTACGATCTGTCCAATGTCTTGTTTGTTTGTGAGTGTCCACAGGCGTTCTCGTTGACTTGCCTGTCACCTGATCCCTGGCTATTCAACCGAGAATCCAGGCCAAACCGGTATGAGCTTGAGAACCGATGTTCGAAATTGCATATTTTTCGCCAACTCATACACTAATCTGTACAGAATTGTTAAGGATGTAATGCTTTTAAGATAAGGTCACGAGGAGAATCATCGATTGATTGCGTCATGGGCAACTATCCATTTTGATAGACACATCTCCCTCAAGGTGATTTTATGCACAGGGAGGGCTCATTTGCCGACCAGGGATATTTGTTATCGCCTTAACTGCCGTAAGAGTCGAGTGTGATGCGAACATTCTGCCACNTTCTGCCACTCCTACAACGCAAGCGTCTGGTGGTTTAATGCTCGAGAAGAACACTTGTAGGCGATTGAAAAACACTACGCAGCAAACTGTGCAAGGTAAATAAATTGTCAATTAGCCCCTGTTCATGGAACGCTTAAAATTTGCGGGTTTCGACCAACGGATCATCATTAGGAACAATTCTTATTCTAATGACATTTCGCTGATGAGTATGGATTTAGGAGGAACGTTTTTTCCCGGCTATCTCCGGAAGAGTTTGCTTCCTGTATGTCAATTTTTCTTACTCGGTTGTTGATACGAGGTGGGTACAAATGATGATCTGCACATGGCCCTCTAGTCGGATCGGTTATGTTCGGGTATGGACCCAACTCGTGCAACATCACTCTCGTTTCGGAAATACATTTTAGTTTGCAATATCATATCTAAGTATTGCTGGCTATGAGCAGTGTATTTACTCCTGTCTTTATCTCCAGCTTCTATGTTCTTAGTTCTCTTCTACCACCGTTTGAATCCGCACGACCCTGGGTGTCGCGATAAAATTGGTAGTGCTTCGAAAGTTACGGCTCAGATTTGGAAAATGTTTTATGCAAAG